GAAGCAGAAGAACTTCGACAAGACGCTCGCCGAATGGCAGAAGAAGTACGCCGACTCGCAGGTGAGTTAACAAATAATGTTTGAATTTGCATGTTTTCAGACTTTGTATTAATGCATCACTCAACTTATTTTATCTGCTTTTTAGGCTGAACTCGAGAATGTTCACCGAGAATGCCGTCAACACTCCACCGACGTATTCCGCATGAAAGCCCAGCTCGAGGAGGTGCATGATCAGATGGAGGCGCTTCGACGCGAGAACAAAAATCTCAGCGGTACGATGACATTCTCGAACTCTTTCCACATTCATGACTTTGCTTTCGTCAATTCAATGCTTTATTCTACTTCGGTCTAGCCTACAATAGTGTCTGCAAACTTGCCCTCTTCTACGTTTTTTGCATGCTCGCTTGCCTCACTTTCCCACTCGTTCAGATGAAATCCACGATCTGACGGAACAACTCGGCGAGGGCGGTAGGTCCGTGCACGAAACCGAGAAGCAGCGCAAGCGTCTCCAAATGGAGAAGGAGGAGTTGCAGGCGGCCCTGGAAGAGGCCGAGAGCGCTCTCGAACAGGAGGAGGCGAAGATGCAACGTGCCCAGTTGGAGATGAGTCAGGTGGGTGGCTCTGCTTCTCTTATCAAGTCATTATTACATTTTTTGCATAAAATGCCTTTCATCAACGTATACTACTACTTCCAACAATATCAGTAGTAAATGCTCTTCACTGAAAATAATCGATCAGGCAATTTCTGACTTTTTTTGTTGTCCTTTTTAATAAACATTTTCTTGATTAGACCTTTATTATTTTACTACTTATTTCGCTGCCTGGTTCAATGTTTAGATTCGTCAAGAGATTGATCGCCGGCTAGCCGAGAAGGAGGAGGAGTTCGAGGCGACCCGCAAGAATCACCAACGAGCGCTTGAGTCGATGCAGGCCAGCCTGGATGCCGAAGCAAAGGGGAAAGCGGAAGCGATGCGAATGAAGAAGAAATTGGAGCAGGACATCAACGAGCTCGAAGTGGCTTGTGACAGCGCCAATCGAGCCCGAGCTGAGATGGAGAAGAATATGAAGAAGTACCAACAACAGGTATTTCCATCTGTGCAATCCAACTGATTTAGAAATATGTTTCTTCTACAAAAGGCTGCTGTTTTGAGCATTTAGTTCCTTTCTGCCACGATAATTTTCATACCCTTGTCCCAATAGGGCCTTTCAATTATGTGATTTAGGTCGAGAGGTGAAACTGTCCATTGTCTTAACTACAAAATGTTTATTGCCATTTTCTTAGTAGTTGTTGCCTCTAGCTCCAATTGCTGTATCCAGTCTAGCCGACTCATAAGACAACCTACGCCTCGCACTGTTTTTCACATAATACTTCTACAGTTTGTCTTTTGTGCTGCTCGTAAAAGTGGCGCAGCATTTGGTCGCAGACTAATTTTCCCATAAAGAATGGCAAGCCAGTTTCGGTCTAAAAGACTGACCTACCAGAAGCAATATTTGTCATTCATTAATTGACCTTGCGTTGATTGATTCACTTGGTACCATCTCTATTCTCTTTTTGGCCTCATCGCCTCGGTTCAGCAACGTGAAATGCAAGCCCAACTTGAGGATGAGCATCGGCAACGAGAAGAACTCCGCGAGGTGGTCGGAGCTGCCGAACGCCGAACCAACATTCTGGCTGGTGAGGTGGAAGAGTTGCGCACCAGTTTGGAGCAGGCGGAGAGGGCGAGGAAGATGAGCGAGGTTGAACGAGCAGAGGCTGTCGACCGAGCCACGGAGCTGGCAACTCAAGCTGCCTCATTTGCAGCCCACAAACGGAAACTGGAGGCCGATTTGGCGGCAATGCAGGTTTGTTGTTACATTCTATGCTTCATCTGGCAAATGGCCCAAAATGGCTGGATTTCAAGCAAGAGTCCCTCTAGTTCAGTTATTACTAAACTTTCAATTTAAATAATTAAGTTTCAAATTAGTTAAGACAAGAACTTTACCTTAAAATGGTCGAGAAATTACGCAATATATTTTATGTATATTTAATATGAGGTTTTTATTTTCACGTTTTCATTTCTACTTAATAAACGGATTTACAAAACAGGATTTGTGTCGTAAAATAAGGCTTAATTTTCTTTTGTTGTGAACTGAGAGGTGTTGGACTAGACTCCAGCATGACCTCATGGCCGGTATTTCTGACCCAAGTGAAGCTGATAAAATTCGTGCTGACAACAGTGTAAAGTCACCTTAGGTTGTACATTTGAAGTGTATCAGAATTGCATAAGCAGATCTCACAATTATAATGAATTTTATGTGAAAATTTGTGCTTTAATGTCGAAGGCTACTAACAATTATTGTGGCATCGGAAGCCGAAGAAGGATTGTCGCGTAGGGAAGACTGTTGAATTGTGTGTAGAAGTCATCGAATGACCGTCATGCCCTGCGATCCCGATGAAACTGCGTCCTCTCCGTGACAGATCTCATCAGAGCAAGATTCCATACTTTACGAAATAGAGCTAAAATATGCTGAAGCAAAAGAAGAGGCTGGCCGAATGCAACCCTAGTCCCACATCCGATGAATTGTGGTTCAAGAATGGCCGCT